TTTCCCATCTCCTCTGGATCTCGGAGGAGATAGGGTCGGACTCCGTGCCATTCGGGAAAGGCCGTTGGAACCGGGGCGGGGGGGGGGGGGGGGCCTGGGGGCCCCCCCCGGTGGGGGGGGGGGGCCCCCCCCCCCCCAAGTGAGATCGAGGCACAGCCGGCCTTCCTCGGGGCTCCCGACTCTTCAGTTAGCCCATAGGCCGGCTGCTGGGGCACTTCCGGGAGTGCTGGCCGGGCTCAGCTGCGTTGGCGCTGACCACTTGGGCGCCCGGCCACCTGCGCAGCACTGATTGCTGGTGATTCTCTGGGTCCTCCACTAGGCTGCCTTGCGGCAGGGGCCATTTCTGACTGCAGATGGGGAGAAGGAACAAGTGTGTCCTGCCTGAAAATAGTGCCCCAGGGAGGCTCTGAGTTTGTGGGTCAAAGCACTGGAGGCCAGACCTCCAGCCTTTTCCCAACACCCTGTGGCCTTTGTTGAGGGAGACGGCGGGTGTGTCTTCTTGGCCCAGCCACCCTCTCCTCAGGATTCCTCCACCTCGCTGGTCCTGGGAGCCCTTCCTCTTCAGGATCGCCCCAGCTCTGTAACAGACCTATCCATGGGGCCTGAAGAGGAGGCGTTTTAGGCTTCTCAAGCTGTTCTCCAGTGGCTCTTGTGATGCTGCCGAGGGAAATAGCATACCGGTCCTTGTTCCTTGCCAAGGGACATCCTGGGCGTTGTGGGCCTCGAGTTGGGCCCTCTCAGTTGATTTCAGCCCAGACTCAGGTGTGCTAGAAGGTTGAGCTTGGTTTCTTGGCTTGGCGGTAGTGGAGAGAGAAGAGGCACCTGTCACCCATCCTGCTTGGGGAACTGACCGATGGCCTCGTGAGACAGTGGTGGCCGCTGAGCGTGGGCACCAAGTGCTGAGCCACCAGCCCCCCTACTGGACAGAGTTGGCTGGGCCTGAGGCCTAAAGGCTTGCCCCCTGCGGCCCCTCTGACCTTGCCGAGTGGAATGCTGGGTCTCACGGCCCATGCCTTTGCAAAAATGAACAGGATGGGAGCCAAAGGTCGATGGCCCTGTGACCTCTAGAGCACCTCTGAGCTGTGTTCTCGTGTGTCTCCTCTGTGCCTGTTGACTTAGCTTTCAGAAGGGTGATGTGGTAGTGGAGAGGTAGGAGCCAGCCTTAGAAACAGAAAGGGCTGGGTTCCAGTCTCAACCTGGCATCGGCTGTGTAGCTCTGGACAAGCCGTCATACCAGATGCTGTCTCCGGCACTTTCATAGCTTCTGTTTGGGTTGGAATTTAGGGAAAGGGCCTCCTGCTTGATAGGTGAGGGGAGAGCAGGAGCAAAGTGATTGGGAGGGGGCCTGGGCACCGCAGAACTGGCCTAGTCCCCCTTCCTCCTGCTCCTTCTCCCCAAAGGCCCTTTCTCGTCTCTTATTTCCTCTTCCCTGGACCCACCCTTGAAGGCTTGCCCCCAGGCCCTTTGACTGCCCAGAGCCCCCATGGTTTGACCTGTAGTCAGACACAGCCCTTATGTATTCTTTAGCCTGGAGTGAACCCTGACTTGGGTTTTCCCCATAGCTGTCTCTGCCCCTGCCCATGGTGGGACATATCCAACTAAACCTGGCCCTTGTCCTCCCGCAGGACTGGCAGCCTCCCTTTGCTGTGGAAGTGGACAACTTCAGGTTCACCCCTCGGATCCAGAGGCTGAATGAACTGGAGGTAAAAGGGAGGGGGCGGGGGGGGGGGGGGGGGGGGGTGGAGGCAGACATAAGGACAGACAGACCAAGATGGCCTGGTTGGCCTGATGAAATGAGCCCCATTTGCTTGGGGAGAGGAGGAGGCCTGGGCTTAATGCTTACCTGGTGGGCTCCTGGCCTTTTAGCCCTTGTTCCTAAATGCCTCAGGGTGGCCAGGGAGCTGGGTCATATTGTCCAGAGGGCATCCCAAAAAAGCCCAGCGTTCAAGGAGACCTTGGAACAGCTTATCCTATTGGCTGGAGGCACTCTGACAGCCCCTTATGAGCCCTTCCTTCGGCTGAGGAAACTGAGGCTCAGAGATCAAGCCACAGCTGGCTTTCAACATCTTGGTTCTCCCGAGTCCTAAATCCAGGCTCCCCACAAAGTTTTCAATCCCCTTCTTCTTAAAATGGGAAAAAACCAAGACACGAACTAGGTGCCTTTCCAGGTTGTCACCCTAAGAGTGCTCTGAGGCTTCTCTGCCCATCCCCAGGGACCTCACTACATGTTCATGCCTGAGAGCAGGCAGGCTAGTGGGCATATGTGACTAAGGTATATGTGTGCTCCATGGCCCTCTCTGGCTGGGGTCAGACATCTCAGGAAGGGAGAAAGAACAGCCCCCCCCCCCCCCCCCACAAACACACAAACAAACCAGAACCTCTGTAAGAGCCTAGCCTGGAACCTAAGGAGAGGGATAGGCCTGTTGCCATCCCTTATCTCTAGGCTATGAACCTTTCCCTGCCTTGGGCAGTCCTCAGTTTCTCTCTCTGACAATTGGGGGAAAGAGAGTTACTTCCTTGACCTCCTACGGGTTGGGGAAAGGCTCATGTTTTGCTCCTTGGCCAAGGCTAGCAGCTGTAGGGCCCAGGCCCCAGCCCCACTAGAGAGCCTTTGGGGCCTGGGCAGGAGGGATGCCTGGAGCCCTCTATGCCCTCCCTCCTACCTTTTTTCCTTCTTTATTTACTTCTGGGGGTTGGGCAAGAGGCAGTTTCTCTCCTGCTTCAGAGAAGACACTGAGTCAGCCCGAGAGACAGGCCTCACCCTTTTTTTGGGTCTGTTTCCTTAGTTTTCCTGAGGCTCAAATGAGCCCACGTGGCCACTAGGTGGCGCCACAGTAAATAGAGTGGTGGGCCTAGAGTCAGGAATTTTGTGACTGGTCACTTCATCTCTGCCTCAGTTTCCTCTTCTGTAAAGTGGAGGTAAGAACTGCACCTGCTTCCCAGGATTGTTGTGAGGGCCACAGTGTCTGGAACATAGCAAGCACTGTGTAGCCATATTGCTGTTACTGTCCTTATTGCTATTGTTGTTACCGTGGGAATGCTTTAGGAAGGGCAAACTGGCTGACAATGAGCCAAGAGGTGAGGCCCTCCCTCTCAGGGAGCTTAAGGGCCTGGCGCTTCTCCCAGGGATTCCCTGATTAGCAGCTTCCTCGGAGGAGGCCACGTAACTGGGGGAATTGGGGTCAGTGGCCCAGAAGGTACTGAATATGCCTCCTGGAGGTCAGGTGTGGCTCTAACCTACTTCCCCAGGCCCAGACCAGAGTGAAGCTCAATTACTTGGACCAGATAGCCAAGTTCTGGGAGATCCAGGGCTCCTCCCTGAAGATCCCGAATGTGGAACGGCGCATCTTGGACCTCTACAGCCTCAGCAAAGTACGCTCCGTTTCTCCTCATGGGCTTCTGAGCTCAAGCAGAGAGTGCCAACTTCTGTGGATGTGCACCCGCTACTGAGCCAGGCGGTGGGAGGGAGTGGGCACATGGTGGACAGGAGGGAGGGGATTCAGCCCAGCTGGGTCTCTGGATGCCTGTAACTTCTCTCCCTCCATATTTTCCCTTCCAGATTGTGGTAGAGGAGGGAGGTTATGAGGCCATCAGCAAGGACCGCCGATGGGCCCGTGTGGCCCAGCGCCTCAACTACCCAGCAGGCAAGAACATTGGTTCCCTGTTGCGCTCTCACTATGAGCGTATCGTCTACCCCTACGAGATGTACCAGTCTGGAGCCAATCTGGTGGTAAGGGAGGGAGAGAAGGGAGGAAAAGAGGTTCCTGTCCCGTTCCCCCCCTCCCTCCACACACACACACACCTGGGCTGTCCCAGCCCAGCCCTTAGTCTCCTGTTACCTCACTGGGCTGAAGTGAGGCTCTGCTTTTAAAGGATGGACTGGGTGGGGAAATCACCTCAGCTTTGGTATACAGGTTCCTCTCCTGGAACTGGTTGGGAAGCTTGGCACCTGGGAGCCCTTACTAGTCCTGGCCTACCTCCTCCAGTGTCACCCAGGGGCTGCCTGCCTTCAGTGGGGCTCCCTGCCCCCATTCTCTGGCTATTTGTGGCCTGGGGCTGAGGTGCTTAGGCTGGGCTCTGCACCAAGTATGTTGGGGAAACTGAGTCAAGGGGAGAAAGTACAGGAGAAGGGAGAGGAAGGGAAGAGGGGTTCGGTCAGGGAAGACTTTCTGGAGGAGGCTCCCCAGCCAGGGCTTTGGGTGCTGGTGGTTACTGATGGCCAGGCAATGGTGTCCCCCCTTCAGCAGTGTAACACGCGTCCGTTCGATAGTGAAGAGAAGGACAAGGAGTACAAGCCCCACAGCATCCCTCTGCGGCAGTCGGTGCAGCCCTCCAAGTTTAACAGCTATGGACGGCGAGCCAAGAGACTGCAGCCTGATGTGAGTGCCACCCCCCCCCATCTGGCCGCTCTGACCCCTGGGGGCTGCTGTCCTGCCACAGGCCAGCAATGGCGGCTCCCCTGGGTATTGTCTAGGAGTCTACCTGCTCTTTTCCCCTCTCTCTCTCTCTCTCTCTCTCTCTCTCTCTCTCTCTCTCTCTCTCTTTCTCTCGCTCTCTCGCTCTCGCTCCTTCCTCCTCTCCTTGCCCCTCTCACACAGTGTGTCTCCCTCTGCTCTCCCTTCCTCCCACTCCCTCAGCCGGAGCCCACTGAGGAGGACATTGAGAAGAACCCTGAGCTGAAGAAGCTGCAGATCTATGGGGCTGGCCCTAAGATGATGGGCCTGGGTCTCATGGCCAAGGACAAGAGTCTTCGAAAGAAGGGTGAGGTGGCCGGCGGGGAGCAGGATGAGGGTGGGGAGCCTGCTGCTGTCAAAGCCTACTGACTTGATGTCTTCCCCAGACAAGGATGGCCCTGAGTGCCCCCCTACGGTGGTGGTGAAAGAGGGGGTGGGCACCGAGCCGAAGCTGGAGCCAGCTTCCCCTAAAGCCTTCGTGGATGGCAAAGAGGAGCTGAGCCACAGCCCTGAACCCTGCACCAAGATGACCATGAGGCTGAGGAGGAGTCATAGCAATGCCCAGTTTGTAAGGAAGCCCTTGGGTCAGGCTAAGAGTTGGGAGGATAAAAAGAGGGAGGAGGACCATGCTGGGCAGGTCAGGGGCCTGCACATGGGCCTAAAGAGCAGAAGGGGGCACGGAGTGAGGGCTTTGGTCCCCTGGGGGCTCAGGCAGAGGCCGAGTGACCCAGGTCGGTGAGGGAGGAAATGGCGGACCTTGAGGGGATTGGACGGTGAGCCCTCCCTCCCTGTGGCCAGATCGAGTCCTACGTGTGCCGGATGTGTACCCGAGGGGACGAGGATGACAAACTCCTGCTGTGCGATGGCTGTGATGACAATTACCACATCTTTTGCCTCCTGCCCCCCCTTCCGGAGATCCCCAAGGGCATCTGGCGCTGCCCTAAGTGTGTCATGGCGGTAAGGTGCTCGATGCAGGAGGTGGGAGGTAGGAAGGCTGGGCCCTTTGCCTCAGTGGCTCTGCCATCCTGGCCACCAAGCCACGCAGCCCATGGCCATGCCTTACTTTGCAGGAATGTAAACGCCCTCCAGAGGCCTTTGGCTTTGAGCAGGCCACGCGGGAATACACGTTGCAAAGCTTTGGCGAGATGGCTGACTCCTTCAAGGCTGACTACTTCAACATGCCTGTGCACGTATGTGCCTTGGGCTGAGCGTGTTCTGGGCAGAGGGCTTTGAGGCCAGAGTGGGCTGGGGAGTCTGAAGCCTGTCCCCCTCCCCCCCCCCCGCCCCATCTTGTGCCCCTAGATGGTACCCACAGAGTTAGTGGAGAAGGAATTCTGGCGTCTGGTGAACAGCATCGAGGAAGACGTGACCGTGGAGTATGGGGCTGACATCCATTCCAAGGAATTTGGCAGCGGCTTCCCCATCAGTGACAGCACGAGGCACCTGTCCCCTGAGGAGGAGGTGCGGGCCAGGGCCTGGGATTGCTCTGTGGGAGTCAGCAAGGCCTCGGGGGCACGTTCTGGCTCCTTGCCACCTACCTGGCGGGTGCATGTGCCCCGGCACAAACCTCTAACTCATCCTCTGAAAAAATGGGGAAGCCACGTGCATTCCTTCTATCCCAGGGCTTTCTGAAGTTTTCCACTCTCGTACCATCTGTGAGGCTGGATCACCTAGAGCTCAGAGGGTGGGGGAGGAAGAGAGGCTAGCCCAGATGCCCACAGTGAAGCCTTGGCTGCATCATGCCCTCCTGGAACCTCCAGTTGGGAAGGCCCTGGGGACTCAGCCTATATCTGCACCTCTCCAGGAGTATGCGGCCAGTGGTTGGAACCTGAATGTCATGCCTGTCCTGGAACAGTCGGTCCTGTGCCACATCAATGCAGACATCTCTGGCATGAAGGTGCCATGGCTGTATGTGGGTATGGTCTTCTCAGCCTTCTGCTGGCACATTGAGGATCACTGGAGCTACTCCATTAACTACCTCCACTGGTGAGCAGGCAGGCACCCAACAGGGTGGCTCAGGGAGGGCCAGGCTGTCCCTGAGTGCCCCTGCCCTGCCTTTGACCGCCTTCTACCCTGTGGGCAGGGGAGAGCCTAAGACGTGGTACGGTGTCCCGTCATTCGCAGCTGAGCATCTGGAGGAGGTGATGAAGAAGCTCACGCCAGAGCTGTTTGACAGCCAGCCTGACCTCCTTCACCAGCTGGTCACACTCATGAATCCCAACACGCTCATGGCGCATGGCGTGCCGGTCAGTGCCCTGGCCTTCTTTCCTCTCCCCTTCCGGGCAAGCTAGGCAGGACAGTAGACAGGTGGCTTCCGCTTTCCCCAGAGTCCCTCAGCTCCATCCAGAGGCAGTCATCTTGGGCATGACCTTTCTGTTCTTTTTTTTTTTTTTCTGTGGAGTCCAGGGTGGTGCCACTTCACTTTAGGGCCCAGATGCCTGTGCCACTTTCTGGGAGCAGTCTTCCCCTTTCTTCCTGGCCTCTGTCTCTTGAGTTTCTTGGAGTAGCCTTCCTGGCAAACTCCCATCCTTGCTGGTCTCCAGGGAACCCAAGGGAAACCTCTGCTTTCTGTTTGGGTCTGTCTGAACCCAGTTATCTCCGGCCCCATTTCTCCGTGGTCAGTTGGGCCTCCCCGGTTCTCCCCTTCTGGGGACCAGGAAGGCAGTTCCATGAGGCTAGGGCCCAGCTTGACTTGACTTCCCAAATCTGAATGCTCCCCCCCAAGCCTGTCCTGTTTTTCTCAGGTTGTCCGCACCAACCAGTGTGCAGGAGAATTTGTCATCACCTTTCCCCGAGCCTACCACAGTGGCTTCAACCAGGGCTACAACTTTGCCGAGGCTGTCAACTTTTGCACTGCTGACTGGGTAAGTCGGGGCCAGGGCTGCTCAGGGAGGCGGGGGGGTGGGAATAGGCCTGGCAGGGGGAGGGGTTGGCCTGGCCTAGGCTCATCCTCCTGTCTCCAGCTGCCTGCAGGGCGTCAGTGTATTGAGCACTATCGGCGTCTCCGGCGCTACTGTGTCTTCTCCCACGAAGAACTCATTTGCAAGATGGCGGCCTGCCCCGAGAAGTTGGATTTGAACTTGGCTGCAGCCGTGCACAAGGAAATGTTCATCATGGTCCAGGAGGAGCGCCGCCTTCGAAAGGCCCTGCTTGAGAAGGTGATGCCTGGCGGGGTGGTGGCTTGCTTGAGGACCTTGCCATTCCCTAGGAGGCCGGGCTGAGCCCCTGGCCCAAGAATCTGCCAGTCGGCCGCGGGCCCCCCACCCTCTGACTCTAAGGGAGGTCCCAGGAGATCTGGTGCCCGCTGCCGGCATGGAGTAGACCAGGGACCCGTTTGTCTGCAGGGAAAGGAGAGGAGGGGAAAGACGAGCTTGAGGTCCTTGAGTTTGTGGAGTTTGGGGGCGGGGCGCATCAGGCCTCGCTGTGTATTTCGGAAGTTTGTGAGGGTCAGTGTCAGCTCAGGGGGAGGGAGGTCTTGGTGCCTGCAGCTGGATTTACAGATGGCACCCCCCACCCCAAGCATGCAAATGTTGGGTCAATGAGCAAGGGGCCTGAAACACCAGCTGAAGATGAAGAGAGTGGATGGAAGCTTGTATTTCCCGGGCTGCAAAGATCCCTTTCTGAAGTTCAAGGTGGGCATGGTGTGTGGAAGTGGCGAGAGCCACACTTGGGGGCTTCAGCCCAATGTCAGCAGCAGGAAATGAGGGGACTCGTGGGCCTTCTGGTTCACTCTGGAGCACCCACCCATGAGAGCCAGAGGCAGTGGAGACCCAGAGGCAGTGGAGACCCAGGCTCACTGGAACGATCTAGGAATGTTTCGCAGAACCTTTCATTCGGGGTGGCGGAGGGGCTGAAGGGACGGGCTTCCAAACTCATCCAGTCGAGCCCTCTCATTTTCCAAATGAAGTCAGGCCCAAATGGGGGAAGTCAGCAGCCAACCCTCTCCCCCATGGCTGGCTCAAGGGTATGGGAGCTTTTGGTTCCTGTCCCTTTTGAGGGTGGTCCTGTCTTTTGTTGTGGTCTCTGGCCCCTTGTGCTGGCATCCTGTGGAGGGTGCCAGTCTTTGATCTTGCTTCTGTGGCTAATCTCTGCATCAACTTGTTCAGTTCCTCTGCCACCATTGGCACTGAATGGGGGAGAGCTTGGGATTCCGGAGACTTCGCTGTAGGCTTCTTTCTCCCTTTTTGTCTGCCGTGTAAGCCTTGGTGAACATTGCAACACAAGGGCCCCACCATCAAATGGAACCTCCAGCCCTCCTTGGAAGGCCCCACCGTCCGCTTCCTTCCATCTTCTGCATCATTTAGAATGCAGATGTCAAGATTGATGGGATTCGCTTCCCCTGAGCACCATGGCCATGTGTTAGACACTGGCTGAGTAGATCCGGGGCCCAGTTGCGCCGATTCTTCCCTCTGCCTGCACGATAGCCTGGCTGCTCATGCCCAAGGGAGGATGCGTTCTGTGCTTGGCTTGGTTTTGTGGCTGGCCCTGCTCCAACAGCGCTTTCTCTTGACTCCATTGGGCCTGTTCGGTGGCAGAGCCCCAGAGAGGTGGTGGGCACAGTGGGTCTTGGTGGTGAAAGTGGTAGCAGTGAGCGTGACTCAAGGTGGGCCTCAGCAGCTCTGCCGTCCCCCCCTTACATTCTTGGTTTGCCGGGCCGCTGGGCTGCCCCCTGTGGGTCCCACATCTTTGCTGAAGGCTTGTTCAACTTTTCCATGTGTGTTCTCTGCCTGTTGTTGGGGCCATGTGAGGCCTTGGGAGCTGGGCAGCCTATGACCTGCCCTCCATGTGTGCACAGGGCATCACGGAGGCAGAGCGGGAAGCCTTTGAGCTGCTCCCCGATGACGAGCGCCAGTGTGCCAAGTGTAAGACAACATGCTTCCTATCCGCGTTGGCCTGTTATGACTGCCCTGATGGGCTTGTCTGCCTCTCCCACATCGATGATCTCTGCAAGTGCCCCACCAGCAAGCAGTATCTGAGGTGAATGGGCTGCTGGGCCCAGGGAGGCAGCCAGAAGGACCTGGCTGGGTGGCCCTGGGCAAGTCACTTCCCCTCTGACTGCCTCAGTTTCCTCAACTGTAACCTGCCTCACAGGGTTGTTGTGAGGCTCCAAGGAAACTGCCTGGAGAGGCCTTGCCAAACCTTCAAAGGCTGTTGTCATATGTGCCTGCAGTAGTGGGGAAGGGTCAGGGTGAGGGGAAGGCTGCCACACTTGGGGATGGGCTGGCAAAAGGCCTCTGGCAGAAGGAAGGTGGGGTGCTTGCTAAGTCTTAATGGGGCCCTGAGGAAGGAGGAGGGGATTCCTAATAAAGGACCTAGCCTGAGGAAGGCCAGGATGGAAGATATAGAGCCGAGCTGGGTCATCTGGGGAAGGCTAGGATGCCAGCTCTGGGCACACTCTCCCCTTAGATACCGATACACACTGGATGAGTTACCCGCTATGCTGCACAAGCTGAAAGTGCGAGCCGAGTCCTTTGATACCTGGGCCAGCCAAGTGCGCACTGCCCTGGAACTGGAGGATGGGCGGAAGCGCAGTAAGTGGGGGACAGCTGGGGGCTGGGGGGCTCCTGTGGGGAGCCTGAAGCTCATGGGCTGGCGCTCTCCCCAGGCCTGGAGGAGCTCAGAGCTCTGGAGTCCGAGGCCCGGGAGCGCCGCTTTCCCCACAGTGAGCTCCTGCAGCGGCTGAAAGACTGCCTGCACCAGGCTGAGGCCTGCGTCTCTCGAGCCCTGAGGCTGGTCAGCAGCCGGGAGCCAGGGGGTGTGGAGCCCAGTGGGGAACGCCGGGTCCCCAGGGCAGCACCCCCCCAGCTAACCCTGGAGGAGCTCCGTGAGTTCATTGAGGAGATGAGCAGCCTGCCTTGTGCCATGCACCAGATTGGGGAGGTCAAGGTGAGGAGGGAGCCCTCCTGGGTGGGCCTTGGGCTGGGCCTGAAGGCAGCTGCAGGGAGGGGAGACCAGGCTGAGGAATCAGCCTCTCCCCTCTCCTCCCGCTCCCTCCCTCCCTTTCCAAATACAGGGCATCCTGGAGCAGGTGGAGGCTTTCCAGGCCCAGGCTCAGACAGCTCTGGCCTCCCTGCCAGCCAGCCTGGGCCACCTACCGGGCCTGTTAGAACAGGCTCATCGCCTGGGTGTGGAGGTGCCTGAGGCTGAGCAGTTGGAACTGCAGGTGCAGCAAGCCCATTGGCTGGATGAGGTGAAGAGGGCCCTGGCACCCCCGGCCCAGCGGGGCACCTTAGCGGTCATGCGGGGACTGCTGGCATCGGGGGCGGATGTGGCGCCCAGCCCTGCCGTGGACAGAGCCCGGGCAGAACTGCAGGAACTGCTTGCTATTGCTGAACGTTGGGAGGAGAAGGCCCACCTCTGTCTCGAGGCCAGGTGCTCCCTTGCTCCCTGGCTTTCCCTGGGTTCCCTTTTGGCTTCTTCAGACCACACCCTTTGTGCCACTCGGCACTGCTGAGCACTGGGGGGAGAGGGCCCGTAGTTCTGGAAGCACAGTGCTCCCCAAACCACCTCCTGGTGTTCCCTAGCCCGGCCAGGGTCCCCCTTTGTTCCGGGCTCCAGGCTTTTCCCACCTTCCTACTCAGGCACTTGCTGCCTCCCCAGCCCCCATGCACCAGGGCCCTCAGGCCTTATCTTGAGAGGGAACAGTCTCCACAACTTGCCTTCTTTCCCTGCTAGGCAAAAACACCCTCCTGCCACACTCGAGGCCATAATCCGAGAGGCTGAAAACCTCCCTGTCCACCTGCCCAACATCCTGGCCCTGAAAGAGGCCCTTGGCAAGGCCCGGGCCTGGATCGCAGATGTGGATGAGATCCAGGTGAGGCTCTGGGGGTGCCTCCCACACCCCTTCGCCGTTTCTAGCCTGTTCTTTAGCTGCCCCGTTATTTAGGGAGATGTGGAAGGAGGCAGGCAGCTGGCCAGCCTCACTCGGACCCTGTGGTGGCAAGGGGGGCCAGCAAGAGCTTGAGCTTCCAAGAGTGGGCAGTTCCCTGGCTTCCTCCTCAGAACGGCGATCACTACCCGTGCCTGGATGACTTGGAGGGCCTGGTGGCTGTGGGCCGGGATTTGCCTGTGGGCCTTGAGGAACTGAGGCAGCTAGAGTTGCAGGTGCTGATGGCCCACTCCTGGCGGGAGAAGGCTTCCAAGACCTTCCTCAAGAAGAACTCCTGCTATACCCTGCTTGAGGTGAGGCGGGCCCTGTTCTCTTCTTCCTCCCAGCCTGCTACCCTGCGTGTTGGGCCTCATTTTTGTTTTCACCCTAACTCCTGCCCAGGTGCTGTGTCCATGTGCCGATGCTGGCTCGGAGAGTATGAAGAGAGACCGATGGAAGAGAGAGAAAGAGCAGGGCCTCTACAGATCAGACACTGAGCTCTTGGGGTTGTCTGCCCAGGACCTCAGAGACCCAGGCTCTGTGGTGAGGAGGGGAGCCGGGGGCAGGGTTGGGGATGCACTGTGGGGAGGCGGGGGGGGGGGGGCAACCCTCCAGCTTTCCCTCTTGGTGATTCCTTGTGGCCCCAGGAGCCGTGGGGGGTAGGGGGATGGACAGAAGAGTTGGCTCAGCCTCCTGAAGTACCATCTGTCTCTTTCCCTGGGGTCCAGATCCTGGCCTTCAAGGAAGGTGAGCAGAAAGAGAAGGAGGGCATCTTACATCTGCGTCGTGCCAATGCAGCCAAACCCTGCCCATCGGCTCTCCAGCTCACCGGGCCTCCCTCAGCTGTGCCCTCACCTGAGTCCCTGTCCTGTGTGTGCGGGCAGGCGCCAGTGGGTGAGGGGGCCCTGCAGTGTGACCTGTGCAGGGACTGGTTCCATGGCTGCTGTGTGTCAGCACCACGCCTCAGTGGGCTCCGGCCCCTGAGCCCCACTCCCCCAGCTCCCCTGGCCTGGTGGGAGTGGGACACTAAATTCCTCTGCCCACTCTGCATGCGTTCCCGCCGACCTCGCCTAGAAACCATCTTGGCCCTCCTGGTGGCTCTGCAGAAGCTGCCGGTTCGACTGCCCGAGGGGGAGGCCCTGCAGTGCCTGACTGAGCGGGCCATTGGCTGGCAGGGCAGAGCCCGCCGGGCCCTGGCATCCAGGGATGTGTCGGCGCTGCTGGGTCGTCTAGCCGAGCTCCGGCAGCGACTGCACCGGTCCCCGGCCACCCCTCGCCCCCAACCTGGCAGCCTGGCCCCGGCCCCACTCAGGGAGAGCAGAGGCGGCGGCGGCGGCAGCGGCAGCGGCAGCGGCAGCGGCAGCGGCAACAACAACAATGAGCTGCAGGTGAGGGAGCCCCAACAGGGTGCCTCCTGGAGTAGGGGGCAGTGGGGAGGCCTCGGCTCCCTCACTTTCTTCTCACTCCCACCTTTTCCCTTCCCTCTGTGTTGGCCTCAGATGGCTTTGGAGAATGGAGATGCTGTGAAGAACTCTGAGAAGGCCAGCCCTGGGGGCGGCTCAGGTAGGGGTCTGGGGTTGGGTGGTAAGAGGGAGTTGGGGGTGGGGGCCCAGCGGAGCTGAGCTTTTGCCGTGCCCATCTCTGCAGACCTCGAGCTGCTGTCCTTACTGCTGCCCCGCCTGGAGGGTCCTGTGCTCGAGCTGCCCGAGGCGGCCCGGGCCCCCCTGGAGGAGCTGATGATGGAAGGAGATCTGCTTGAGGTAACCTTGGATGAGAACCACAGCATCTGGCAGCTGTTGCAGGCCGGCCGCCCCCCAGACCTGAGCCGGCTCCGCACGCTGATTGAGGTGAGGGTCGGAGGGCCGGGGAGCTTAGGGAAACTGGGCTGCCTGAGACCGCCAACCCATCCCCACTGCTTGTCGCATCCTCAGCTGGAGAAGGCTGAGAGGCAAGGCACTCGTGGGCGGAGCCGGGCTCCAGAGAAGCGACGGCGGCGGAAGGGGGAACGGACTGGAGGCGAGTGCACAGGTGTGACCAGAGAGGAGCTGGAGCCAAAGAGAGCCCGGGGCCCAGTGACCACCGAGGCGGAGGAGATGCTGGAGGAGGAAGAGGAGGAGGAAGGGGAGGCCGAAGGGACCAGAGCCGGGGATGAGGACCTTCCCCCTGGTGGTGGCATGCGGAGTTCCAGCCCTCCCCTGAGCCAGAACAAGCCGGAGGTGAGGTCAGGGAGCCAGGGAGGTGGGCCCTCTGCCTGCCCGTCCACCATCTGCCCCCTGCCCACCTCCCCTTGTTCCTCTGAACAACAGCAGTTGTGACAGTTTGGAGCTGGACATGTGCACAGCCCCGTGTCCCTGCACCCCCTGCTGGTCCCCCCCACACACACCTTGGGAGAGGGAGCGAGAACTCGGGGTTGCGCCTGCCTGGGCGCTTCTGCCAGGATGGGGATGGGGGGCAGGGCTGGCCTCTAGGGGTCTTGGGCCCTTGTCTCCTGTGCGCCCCCCCCCCCCCGGGGGGGGGGGGGCCGGCCTCCTACCAGCATTCATTCCCTTGGATGGGCAGGCCTGTGGTCTGCCCCTCTCCCGTCTTCCTCTGGCCCCAGCCAGCACCATTCCAGGAGTGGGGAAGGACAGAGGCCAGCTTGGCTGGCTCTAGGCCTGGGGGTGTGGGGCAGCTCTTGGCCCATTCTCCTCTGGGCTAGGCTTCCACTAACCTTCTGTTCCCTGCCCCCCACCCCCCAAGGGCAAGGGGGAGAGGGGAACTAGCCCTTGATGAGCAAACCCTCCCGGTTTTCTTTTTAATTAGCTTGGGAGGTTTGAAGAAAGCTTCTTTGGTGCTGCTCCCACAGGCCTCAGCAGCCTGCCCTCTGACACCCCCCCCTTCCCCCCCCTCTGCTTCCTCTCCCCCATGCCCTGAGATTTTGTTGTAAGGGGACAAGGGATGGCAGCTCTGGCCGCCACCTCATCTATTTGTTGGGAGGAAGAAACAAAGGAACTGCCCCTCCCCCACAAAACCAAGCAAACCAACAGGAAACACGTCGTTCCCGCAGTTGCCTCTTTTAATTTTATTTTATTATTTTCCTCTTGTTAGAAATAAAACTGTTAGCAATGGTTTTTGGAAAGCCGCCTCTGCCCTGGCCTTTCCTTCTCTGGCCCTTTTGGGGGGGAGGGGAGGCTGGGCAGGGAAAGAGCCCCTTTGGTCACACGTAGGAGGTGAGGACCTGGAGGCCAGCCAGGCCTTCCTTTTCCTGTCTCGACGAGCCAGGTAAGAAGGAAAGTCCCAGGGAGGGCAGGGGGGCGTCCCAGATGCCCAGTGTTGGGGGGTTACGTGATCGAAAAATGCTTCGATTGTTTGAGGGAAGGGGGTTTCATCTCACTGTACTGTGGGTGAATGGGCCAGCAGGGAGAGGAGGAGGGGCCCTTGGCCTCCAACCTCATGTATTCCCAGTGGAGGGGCAGGATTGAAGCTCCAGGAACAACAGCCTCCTTCTCCCCTCTCCTTCCCCCCCTGCCCGGAGCTGGAGGTGTACACAAAAGACCAGACGTGCACAACCCCCCCCAAGAAGTTGGCCACAGCTGGGGGTGTAGGGGTGGGATAGGGAATAAGGCCTGCCTGCTGCCTTGAGGTAACCTTGGATGAGAACCACAGCATCTGGCAGCTGTTGCAGGCCGGCCGCCCCCCAGACCTGAGCCGGCTCCGCACGCTGATTGAGGTGAGGGTCGGAGGGCCGGGGAGCTTAGGGAAACTGGGCTGCCTGAGACCGCCAACCCATCCCCACTGCTTGTCGCATCCTCAGCTGGAGAAGGCTGAGAGGCAATTACCAAGCTAATTACCTACCGGGATTCTCAACTTGGGGCACAGTGCCCTTCTCCATCTTAGGCCTCCCCTGACTGCCATGGGCAAACTGAGAGCCAGGGCCAGGAAGGCTGGTGGAGGTAAGCTGAGGGCCTGGGAGCTGGGAATGGAAAAGCTGCTGTCCCCCACATGTACCCCAAGGGATTCTGGATACATGGTTCACCCATATGTACAAGTTGGTGAAGAAGCCCTTGAGGCCCGAAGCTTAGAATACTCACCACTGACTTTTCCAGCCCAGTCCTCACCTGCACTCTGCCTGCTTCATAGTCCTGGGTGGTCCACAGACCACCCCCCCCCTCCCCCAAGCGCTGGGTCCCACCTCAAAGATCTCCTTTCCTGGGAAGCCATTTATTTCTTTGGGCTCTAAAGTCTTATCTCCCTTGTATCCATAGGCCTCACATAGGCCTATGTGTGTGGGGGGGAAGTGTTCCATTTTTGGAGGGCCCCCAGCCCCTCATGCTCATTAACACCTGTGGGAGCCTCCATCTCTGAGTATCTGAAGCAATAGGAACCCTCAGCTGGAAATGGGGTGGGGCTGAGTCAGACCAAGAAGCTACTGCCTGGAGGCTGGGAGTTGCCCTGCTGCTGGGGAGTACTTCCAAGTTGATGCAGTTGTCAGAAATGGGGTGGGCAGCTAAGCCAGCTGGCCCTTGAGCCTTTCTCCCCCAGGCCCTTCCTGCCCTTGACCATGATAGCATCCAGGAGCCAAGCGAAATTAGGAATGTTCAGGTCGGACCCATAGGGTCATAAGGAAAAAGGGTTTTGGGGGACTGGGCAACAAGGGACAAATGGTGGATGGTATGTTAGGGAGGGTGCTCAGAACAGTTAATTTTGTGAGTCCTTTCTCCAGTCTTCCCCTGCTCCCTGTTCCCCATCTTGGACCTCCAGCAGTGCCGGGCATCAACACTCGGGCCCTGGGTTGGTCACCTCCACCTGCAGTTTGTGACTGCCTGCCTTCTCATGCATAGTTGTCTGGAGTTGATCAATAAATCCACTAGGATCGGGGAGGAGGGTGGAAGGAGAACAGAGGTTACTGAGGCAGGCAGGCCAAGGGTAGCAAGGGAGCTCCAGGATTCTAAAGGGTCTTCTAGATATGCTGTGGTTGGGATGTCTCCCTCTGTTCTCCATGACCTGTTGTACCAGGTGGGGGGGATGGGCAAGTTACCTGGGTGAGTGGGCACCATCTTCTGGTTAAAGGGCACGTCCAACATAACATGAATGGCATCCATGACCTAGAGACAGACAGCTCAAGCCTATGGGATTGCTGGGGCAAGCGAGAAGACTGGCACCACTGGATTCCTGGTGGAGAAAGGCCCCAGGCCTGACCTTGAAAGGGGGATGGAGGTGATAAGCCCCAAGCCTAGCAATGTCACCAGTGAGGTGGGGGTAGGAAGAGACAGGAAGTGGAGGAGAGATAGGGCTTTGGTGGGGGCTGAGTCAGGCTGGTCTTAAGGCACTCCTGCCTTTGGAGGGGATGGGGGGGAGGTTGGCCTGGCCAAGAGGGGCTGACGGTCCCACTTTTCTGGTGCTCTCAGTGAAATACTCTCTGCCCTTCTAGGCACAAGACCTATTGAACCCGCCCAGAACACTTTGATCTGAAACAAGACTTGTGATGAAGGAAGCTGACTGGCTAAAACGAGCTGCCTCTCCATCCCCAGAAATGGAGCTGGAGGGGAGGGGGCCAGTGCTCAGGAGTCAGGGTAGAGAGGGATGGGGATAGAGTGATACCTTAGCTGGCCCAGTCAGTAAACATTTGCTGAGCATCTACTATGTGCCAGGTGCTGTGCTGAGCACTGGGAATACAAAAAGGAACTTACGGTCTAATGCAAACAAATATATGCCAAGTGAGCTGTGTATGGGATAAATGGGAAATCAAGAAGGAAGGCACTCGAATAAAAGGGATTGGGCAAAAGCTTCCAGTAAAAGATGACATTTTAGCTGGGACTCGGAAGGAGGTCAGGGAGGTCAGTAGTTGAAGCAGAGGAGGATTTCAGGGCTGAGAGTTGGTCGGAGAGAAGACCCAGAGATGGAGGGGCTTGCTGGTGGAACAGCCAGGAGGCCAGGGTCACTTTAGGGAAGAGAATGTGGTGGCGAGTGAGATGTGAGAAGACTGGAAAGGGAGGAGGGGGCGGGGCACGAAGGGACTTGAACATTGAAGCAAAGCATCTTGTACTTGCTCCTGGAGGCCATAGGGAGCCGCTGGGGTTTATTGAGTGGAAGTGGGGAGTGGTGTCATGATCATAACTACACTTTTCACTTTGGTGGCTGAATGGAGGATGGACTGGAGTGGGGAGAGGCTTGAGGCAGGCAGAGCCCCCAGCAGGCCGTTAGTACGGGTGTGAGATCACGAGGGTGTGCATCAGGGTGAGGGTACCATCAGAGGAGGGAAGGGCAGGACAGGTAGGTGAGAAAATCATCACCATAGCAATGGTAATTAAACTGATGGGCGCTGGTGAGATCCCCCAGTGAAGTTGTACAGAGGGAGAAGAAGAGCAGAAGGCCCAGGACAGAGCCCTCAGGGACACCTGTGGTTAAAGGGTGTGATCTGGAGGAGTGGTCAGAGAGGAAAGAATGGGGAGAGAAGAGGTATCCCAGAAACGTAGAGAGAAGAAAGGATCAAGGAGGAGAGAATGACTGACAGTGTCAGAGGCCAAAGAGAGGTCAAGGAGAATGAGGACTGAAGAGAGACTGATTTGGCAACTAAGATCTGGCTTTAGAGAAAATTGTTTCAATGGAATGACGAAGTGGGAAGCCAGATTGTAAGGAGTTAAGTAGTGAGTGTGGGGAGAGGAAGTGGCACCTGTGGAAGACAGTTGTTTTAAGGCATTTAGTCACAAAAGACAGAAGAGATCTTGATCTCTTCCCATAGAAGGCCAGGTACTGGGTTACAAGTGGAAATAGCAAAACTATACTAGTAGGGAACCTCAACTTTCCCGTCTCAGAGCTAGATAAATCTAACTCTAAAATAAGAAGTTAGTAGATGAATAGGATCTTAGAAAAGTTAGATAGGATAAATCTTTGGAGAAAACTGAATGGGAACAGAAAGGAATATACTTTTTTTCTCAGCAGTACATGGCCCAAAAAAACAAAGAAATGCAGAAATATTAAATGTACCCTTTTCAAACCATAATGCAATAAAAATTACATTCAATAAAGGACTGTGGAAGCATAGATTAAAAATTAATTGGAAACTAAATAGTCCTAAAGAATGAATGGGTCAAAGAACAAATCATAGAAACAGTAATTTCATTAAAAAGAATGACAATAAAACATTCCAAAATTTGTGGGATGAAGTCAAAAGCACTACTTAGGGGAAAAATATATCTCTAGCATATGTCAACAAAAGAGAAAAATCAGATCGATTAACTGGGCATGCAAGTTAAACTTGCATGTGCGCTCTTGAGCGCACACACACACAAAAAAGAATATAAAACCCCCAATTAAAAATCAACCCAAATTGGAAATCCTGCAAATTGAAGATTAATAAAAATTGAAAGTAAGAAAACCATTGAACTAATAAATAAAACTAGGAACTGATTTATTGGGGGGGGGGACAATAAAATAAACCGTTGGTTAATTTAATTTTAAGAAAGCCAAATTACCAGTATCAAAAATGAAAAGGGTGAATACATCACAAATGAAGGTGAAATTAAAGTAATGATTAGGAGTTATTTTTGCCTGGATGTATGCCATTGACAATCAGTGAAATAAATGGATATTTACCAAAAAAAAAAAAAAAATTGCCCAGATTAACAAAAGAGAAAATAGAATGTTTAAATAACCCTATCTTAGACAAGGAAATTGACCTCCCTAAGAAACAATCCCTAGGACCACATGGATTCACGAGAGATTTCTACCAAATGTTTAAGGAACAATGAATCCCAATGCTATATAAACTTTAAAAAAAAAATAGGTAAAGAAGGGGTCCTACCAAATGCCTTTTAAGACAAATATGGTTTTGATACCTAAACTAGGAACAACAGAAAACTAGACACCAGTTTCTTTAATATAGATGCAAAAATTTTAAATAAAACACTAGCGAAGGGGCTACAAGCCCTATATCACAAAGACCATACCCTATGACCAGGTGGGATTTATACCAGGAACGTAGGCCTGGTTCAATGTTAGGAAAACCTTCAGCATAACTGGCCACGCCAATAACAAAAAACAAAATGGAAAAATCATATCATCTCAATAGGTGCAGAAAAAACCTTTGACAAAACACAGCACCTATTCCTACTAAAAACACCAGAGAGCATAGGAATAAATGGAGCTTTCCTTAAAATGATTAGTATCGATCTAAAACCATCAGCAAGTATTATTTGTAATGGGGATAAGTTAGAAGCCTTCCCTGTAAGATTAGCAGTGAAGTAAAGATGGCCATTATTGACAGCATTATTCAATATCGTACTAGAAATGCTCACTATAGCAGTAAGATGAGAAAAAGACATTGAAGGAATCAAAATAAAAACTTTCACTCTTTGCAGATGATAGGATGGTATACTTGGAGAATCGACTGAAAAACCGAAACAATGAACAGCAAAGTTGCAAGATATAAAATAAACCCAAATAAATCATCAGCATCTCTTTCTAATTTTTTGGTGAGGCAACTGGGGTTAAATGACTTGCCCAGAGTCTACGTGAATGTTACATGTCTGAGGCTGATTTGACCTCAGGTCCTCCTGACTCTAGGGCCGGTGCTGTATCCACCGCACCACCTAGCTGCCCTCTGTCATTAGCATTTCTATGTATCACCAACAAAGTGTAGCAGGAAGAGATAGAGAAATTCCATTTAAAATAATTGTTGACAATGTGAAATATTTAGGAGTCAACCTACCATGGGATTACATGAACATAATTACAAAACATTAAACATGAATACAGGTCTAAACAACTGGAGAGACATTAATTGCTCATGGGTAGGCTGAGCCAATATAATAAAAATGACAATTCTACCAAAGTTAATTTACTTAAACTACCATAGAATTATTTTATGGAGCCAGAAAAAAAATAACAATTTATCCGAAAGAACAGAAGGTCAAGAATACCAAGGGAATTAATGGAAAAAAACAAACGAACAAACCTGTGAAGGAAAGTAGCCTAACCATACCAAATCTTAAACTATATTACAAAGTGGTAATCATCAGAGCAATCTGGTATTGGCTAAGAAATAGAGTGATGGATTAGCGGAATAGGTTAGGTACACAGTACACTATAGTAATCTTGTGTTTGATAAACCCAAAGATCCAAGCTTTTGGGGTAAAAACTCAACATCTGACAAAAGTTGCTGGGAAAACTGGAAAGCAGTTTGGAAGAAACTAGGTATAGATCAATATCTCACAATGTATACCCAGATGAAGTAAAAATGCATACAGGATTCAGATATAAAGGGTGATCTAAGTAAATTAGGGGAATGTGGAATATTTTACCTGTCAGATTTCTGGATGAGGGAAGAGTTTATGACCAAAGAAGAGATAGGATCACAGGAAGTAAAATGGATGATTTGGTTACATGAAATTAAAAAGCTTTTGCACAAACACAACTAATGCAGCCAGGATTAGAAGGAAAACAGAAAACTGGGAAGTAAAAAATTTTACCGCAAGTTTCTCTGACAAAGGCTATATAGGGAAACTAAACCAAATTTATAAGAATACAAGCCATTCCCCAATTAATAAATGGTCAGAGGGTATGAACAGGCAGTTTTCAGAAGAAGAAATCAAAGTTATCTATGGTCATATGAGAAAACATTCTAAATCACTACTGATTAGAGAAATGCAAATTAAAACAACTCTGAAATACCATCTCATACTTATCAGATTGGCTAACATGATAGAAAAGGAAAATGACAAATGTAGGGGATGTGGAAAAATTGGGACAACTCGCATTGTTGGTGGAGTTGTGAACTAGTCCAACCATTCTAGAGAACAATTTGAAATTATGCCCAAAGGGCTATAAAAATGTGTATGCCCTTTGAGCCAGCAAAAGCTCTGCCAGGTCTCTAACCCAAAGAGATCAAAGAAAGGAAAATGACCTATTTGTACAAAAAAATATTGACAGCAGCTCTTTCTGTGGTGGCAAAGAATTGGAAATTGAGTGAGTGCCTATCAACTGGGGAATGACTGGACAAGTTGTGGTGTATGATTGTGATGAAATACTACTGTGCTATAAGAAATGACAAGCAGGCTGATCTCAGAAAAACCTCCAGACTTCTTAATGTGAACTCATGGAAAGTGAAGTGATCTCAGGAGAAGGATCAGCGACATGGTATGATGATCAGCTATGACAGACGAGGCTACTCTGATCAATACACTGATCCGAGACAATTCCAAAGGACCTGTGAATGCAGATTGAAACATTTTTTTTTTTTTAAATTTAATTTTTATTTTTCCTGGGTTTGGTTTGGTTTTGTTTTTTTGGTCTGTGTTTTCTTTTGAAATATGGCTAATATGGAAATATTTTGCATGACCACACTGGATAATTGAAATCAAATTGCTTGCCTTCTCAAGGCAGGGGGAAGAATGGGGAGGGAGAGAATTTGGAACTCAAAATTTTTTCAAATGAATGTTAAAATTTCTTTACATGTAATTGGGAAATATTTCATGAAATAAAAATATATTGGGGGAACAGAAGGGGAAAAAAAGAAAATTTAATTGAAACAAAAGAAGCCAGGCACTTTTCTTGCTCTTCTGGAGCCCTTTGACCGAGGTCCGGAGGGAGGAACTGTTACTCAGAAGCCTTGTTGTGTCTGCTGAGGTAGCAGCCCTTTCTCACATAGGTCTGGTTTCCAGAGGCCCTGGAGCCACACTTTGTACTTGTATTTGGGTTGTAGCTTCTTTCCCTCCGGGCCCTAAGTTGTATCTGGCGGTCAATCAACATTTATTTAGTGCCTACTGTGTGCCAGTACACCGTGGAGGAAAAGGCCTCTGAGGGGCAGCTAGGTGATAGAGTGGAGAGAGCACCGGCCCTGAAGTCAGGAGGACGTGAGTTCAAATCCGACCTCAGACCAAACACTTGACACTTACTAGTTGTGTGACCCTAGGCAAGTCACTGAACCCCAATTGCCTGGAAAAAAAAAAAAAAAAAGGAAAAGGCCTCTGCCCTAATCTTCCAGACACTGCGAAGAAGCAGCCTTTAGCCAACAAGGCCTCAGTTTCTCATTTTATTGGTAAGAGTAGAGGACTGGAAGGAACAACCCGCAGCATCTGGGCCTTAATGACATGTAAGTCTAGGGCTCTAGATCTGCAGATGGAAGAAAGCTTCAAAGTCATCTACTCCAGCCCCCCCCCCCACCTCAGATCCCCAGAGATGAAGTGAATGGCCCAGGGTCACATATGTAGTAATGGGCAGTCAGTTGGAACCCAGGTCTCTGATTCCAAAGGCAACAAGTAGCCTGTCCCCTAATTGCGCTTCTAGCTCACACAGAAAGGGAATTGGGGGCATCAAAGGGGAGCGCTTTGACCGCCCTGGCTATTTAGCTCGCACTCCCTCTCTGCATCCCCATCCCCCATCCCCGATTGCCCACGCTCATCCCGCAGCCCCATCTTCCATCCTCCATTGAGCATCCCTGATACACCACCCCATCAAACCAGTAGCGCCCCCTCGGCGGGAGAAGCTGGAGACTGAGCTCCCAGCCCTCAGATCGGGAGCATGCGCATTCGGCCGCCTCAGCCCCGGGCCCCGCCCACCACCTCTCCAACCTTAGTGCCCGCCCCCGGGTGGGCGGGCTTCAGCTCCCCTAGCTCCTCCTCCCGCTTCCCCGCGGCTCCCGGAGTTGGCCAATCAGAGAACGCCAAGGCGGTAGAGACGAAGGACCCGGCCCAGCCAGCCTCCTTCCAGGGCATCCCTACATCCCTGCATCCCAGCATCCACCGCATCCCGGCATCCTCCCTCCCTGGGTCCCTGCATCCCTCCCATCCCAGCATCCCCAGCTCCCCAAATCCCAGCCCACCTCCTCTTTCCCGGGTCCCCTGCGGGGCTTGACTCCAGGGGTAGCCAAGGCCATCGTCCCCGTCGGAAGCTGGCAGCTGGCTCCTGGGGTGGAGCCCCAGCCCCAGTTCAGACCCTTCACTACGTGGGGAGCCAAGGGTTCGGCCTTGTTTGCTACTAACCACACTCCCTAAACAAGCAGACCTGCCTCCAGCCTGGCCCTCACAGCCATCTCCTGGGGAGAAGGGGCCAGCCATCCCCACCACCTGCCACCCACAGGGCAGGCAAGCCCCTGAGGGAGAGAGCAGGCAGCATGTGCCAGACCACCACCAGCTCCCCTCAGACCAGATAGCCCAGGCCCCTGAGCCCAAAGGCCTTGGGACCAGCCAGGCTTCCAGCCCCGGGCCCTCAGCCATCCTCCTGGCAAGCAAACCCTGGGGACGGACTGCTCCCGTGGGGGCTCCGGCCGCAGCTCCCAAGGCCTCAGAAAGGAGAAGTCCTGGGCACGGCGGTCCGGTGCCTCAACAGCAGAGCCTGTTGCCGTTCTATGGGTGACAGAGAAGAGGCCGGAGCACCTGCTTGGGCGCGCCACCCTAAGGACCCTGGGACCTTGCCTTCTGTCGGACTCCTTCCCCAAGTGTGGCCTCCCCCCTTAGAATGGGGGCTCCTCAAGGGCAGGGACCGTCTGACTCTTCTGTTGGTATCCACGGGGCTGGGCACACAGCAGGTGCTTAATAAATGCTTTATTCATTCATTCATTCAACTAACTGTGAAAGTTTGAGCAAACATCTTGATCTCCTCTCTGGACCTCAGTCTCCTCCTCCCCAAGGCTTCCTCCTACTCAGACATTCTCTGAATGCAGGGATATGAATGGAATCTTGGGAGAGATTTTAGGCCAGACCCCCAGGTCTTCTGAGCACATCTCAGGACATTCCTGCCCCTGGAGTGTCCAAGACTGTAGCCCCACCCCCCCCCCCCCCAAGTCCCTGGAAAGAAAACAAACAAGGCTGAGAGATTTTATTTACTTCAGTATCTTGGTTTACAAAAAAAAAAAAAACAGGCAGAAAAATGCAGGCCCTTCCAAAAGGGCGGCTGCCTGACCGAGGGCCCTCCCTTCAGGCCCAGTGATAGCTCCCATCCCATCCCTCCCATTGTAGCTACCTCCATATTCCTCCTCCCATCAGGCCCGGCCAGAAGGGCCCTGACTCCCTGCCTCCTCCAGCCCTGGAGCACAGTGTCTTCACACTGGTCCAGGGTGGGACCAGTCTTGGCTTGGTCCAAAGGCCTGAAGCCCAGCTGCCTTCCTAGTCCCCATTCCCCTAGACTGCCTGCCTGTTTGCTCCTCAGGCCCCCACTCGGGGAAGATGAGAGGAGCTGCAGGTAATGTCAGGCAAGGGTGGAGAACAAGGAGCTGAGAATTGGGGGAGGCCAAGGGGAGTGGGCGGAGCTGGCCACATACAGGGCCTCTGGAGCCAATGTGCTTCCCAGCTGGGAGCGGGGAGACCAAGGGGCAAATCCCCTACGTGAAAACTCATGGATGGGGCTGAGCCCAGCAACTCTCTGGGCCTCAGCATCTCATCCAGGACCGAAAGGGTCTCCCAGCTGCCACAGGATCAAATGTTGACCCTTTCCCCTTGGCATTAAAGTCCCCCCCCCCCCCCCAATTTCTCTCTGGGGCCTTAGCCAGTCCCTATTACATACCCCCAGCTCTCCAGGCCCTCTCAGACTCCTCTCCCATCCACACACAAGACCTCCTCCGGGAAACCTTCCCTAGACCCAGCTCACCTCTCCAACTGAATTCCCCCTCCGAGTGTCTCCCCTCCTCCTAGCCCACCCCTTCCTCTCTAACATCCTGCAGGTGGCAGCTCCTTGAGAGAGAGGTGGAGCTATCTTTCTTAGAAAGAGAGGGCTGCACAGGCTGGAGTCAACTCTCTGATGCAGGGGAATCCCTGACCATCGACACCCATGTGAGCCTTTGTTGGCTTCCAGGGGTCATGTGAGAGAGGAGGTCCACTATGGGGCACCTCCAGAGAGGTATGTTCTTAGGGAAGGGAGGAGGGTCCCTGAGACACACTGAGCCAGGTCAGTGAAGAAGGAGGGAGGATTGAGAGGAGGATGGAAGGAGGTCCCAACAGGGAGAGGAAAAAGGTGATACAACATCCACAAGGGTTCTGGGACCACGGACACCCATGTAACGGACCATCTATCACCTTGGAAAAAAGGACGGAGCTGGCCAGCTTGCAAAAAGTAAGGCTGAGGATGGAAAGCAGTCCTCAGCGGGGACGAGCTGGGGTCTAAAGACCACTGAGGCTCCCAGAGGGACCCTGGAGAACCAGGGAGCTGAGTCCCCTACCATGACAGCAGGAGAGTCGCCTAGCCTGTCCCCAAGGAGGCGACTGGAGGGGGCCTGGTGGCGGAGGGTGGTGCTGGTCCTGAGCCACCCCCATGCCCCAAAAGGGGGCAAATTGAAATTCCCAGTGGGAACAGAATGTGGGAAGAGACATGATGGAGCCTAATGACCATCCTTGGCCTCCTGGGCCTGGCTCTCAGGCCTGAGGCGGGGGCTTGGGGCAGGGGCGCCGCTGGATGGGGCTCTAGCATTGGAGGGAGTGTCACCCTCCCTTTGCCCACTTGGGGGGGACGTTCATTACTAAGTCAGTGTTACTGGGTTGGGGAAGGGAGCTTATGTAGTACATAACAATATCTCTCTCTGGAAACAGCAAATCCAAGAGAGAGGAATTAATGTAAATGAAAACCCAGCACATTCACAACTGATAGAAAACCCCGGTTTTTTTGTTTCTAGTTTTTTAAAAAAGAAAAAAACAATCTGGTGGGTGTGTGTGCGCGCGCGCGCGTGTGTGTGTATGTATGTGTATATGTGTGTGTATGTCCCTACTCCCCTAGAAGCTGCTGGGGACAGGGATAGGTCACAGGGGACCCCCCTCCCCTCATCCACATACCACCGGTAACAGTGGAGTGCCATTTGATGGAGCACAGAGAATCAGGGACCTACTCCAGGATCCCCACCATGCCCTCAGCACTAATTCTCATCTGCCATTTGGGGTCTTCTTCTCCTCACTCAGCCTCTTCTCCCTTTTCCTCGTCCTCCCTCTCCTCTCCTCCTCCCTATATCTATCAGTCTGTTTTCACATGACACAATAAGGCTCCCGAGGGGCCTGGGGGCCTCCAGCCCCCCAGCAAGGGGCATGAGTCCTCAGGCACTTCTTGAGGTCCTTGTTGAGGAGGAAGCAGACAATGGGGTTGACCCCAGCCTGTGTAAAGCTCATCCACACAGCAGTGGCTAGGTATCGGTGAGGCACGGCACAGGCCTTCACAAAAACCCGCCAATAGCAGGCCACGATATAAGGAGACCAGAGCAGTAGGAACAGCAGAGTGATGGCATAAAACATGCGGCCTAGCTCCTTTTCCCCCCGGAACTCCTCCATGCCTAGGAGGCGCCGGCTGGCTGCGTGGCCCCCTACCCCTCCAGTTGCCTGCCGGATGCCCAGCAGGGTAGGAGGCAGGGGGCCTCGGCCAAAGCCAGCTATCCAGTTTGCTGCGGCCTGGCCGGTGGCGCCAGGCCCATGAAACGTCCAGTTCTGACTGACCGCTGGGACAGTCTGTACAGGGCGCATCTTGCGGTGGCGGTACTCGAAGAGAAGCAGCTTTCCGTACACGGCATGGGTGGCGGCCATGAGGGCAGCCAGCATGAGCATGAAACCCAGTGTGTCGTTGGCCTTGAAGTAGCGGTGTTCAAAGATGCATTGGTCTTCCTCGCGGATGAACTTGTAGGTGCCCACATCAAAAACAGGGGGAAAGGCCATGGCCACAGAAAGGGTCCACGCCATGCAAATGACCGCCGCACTGGTCCAGAGGGTCATGCGCTTGGCATAGAAGCGGTGATGAGCCACAGCCATGTAGCGGGTGACGCTGATGCAGAAGAGCATGAAGGCGGCATGAAAGCAGAAGAGCACCGCCATGAAGGCTACCACCTTGCAGCTGAGCGCGCTGTAGGTCCAGGCGGAGCCGTGCCGGATGGAGGCCAGCACGAAGGGGAAGCAGACCGCAGCCCGCACGCCGTCAGCCAGGCACAGGTCCAGCAGGAAATAGTATGGAGCCTTGTGCAGGGCGCGCTCCCTGAGCACCAGCAGGGAGAGGAGGGCATTGCCCACCAAGCTGACACAGATGATGGCCCCCAAGAGAACCAGCTTGACGGAGGTGGAGGCGGCGGCGGCGGCGGCAGCCGTAGGAGGAGGCAGGGAGGACCCGCTGCCGCTGAGGTCGTCTGGCCCAGTGGCGTTGGGCATCATGCCACTAGGAGGGCTGGCCCAAGGAGGGAGGGGCTGGGGATCAGAGGCTCCTTCGGGCTGCCATGGGCTGGGTAGGATAGGGTCTTCCTGCAGAGAGGACAAGGAGGGACAGAGATAGGGAAGCAGAGGCGGCGTGAGACACCAGGAATAGAGAAAGAAAAGAGGAGCGGGACAGAAAGAGGAGCCGAGATGTGAAAATGCAGAGGGAGGCAGAGAGAGACGGAAACAGAGAGAGGGAGAGAGAGAGGCGGAGGAGAGAAAGACACACACAGAGACAGAGACCCAGAGAGAGAGGGAGGGAAAGAGAGAGAGAGAGAGACAGAAAGACAGAAAGAGGGAGAGACAGAGAGAGACAGA